GGTTGTTGTTGTTTGTTTGTTTTTTTGGGGGGGGCTGTTGTTGTTGTTTGGTTTGGGTTTGATTTTTTTGGGGAGGAGTGGGTTTTTGTTGTTGTTGTTGTTGTTGTTGTTGTTGTTGTTGTTGTTGTTGTTGTTTTTGTTGTCGTTTTGTTTTATTTGGGTTTGTTTTGTGGGGGGTGTTTGATATCTTGTCAAAAGCTTGATTCTGTGACTTACAGGATTCTTGTGTAAGTCCCGCCTGTCCCAGTGCGTCAAGTGGTATGTATGGGGCAGGAGCTAGACGGACGTATAGGGCAGGAGCTACATAGACACAGTCAACGAGTTCCGAGGATCATCCTAAACCACCCCTTCCTTTTCCCCACACAGTGAACAACGTCACGAACCAGAGAGTGTGAATACTCAGGGGGACTGGCGGATGTTTTGATCTTTCTCTTTAAGTGAAAGTTTTCCCAAGTCGCTCTTGTTTTGCAACCTAAAACGTCTTCTTTGTGTTTTTTAGATTTTAAAAATTCCAAACTATTTCTGCTGATTGCTTTTTCTTCTTCTTCTCTTTTCTTGGTTTGCAAGCCAGACAAAAAACCTCAGTGCTTGGCAATATCGTACATCTTCTATATAGATCTGTTCTCTTAAATCCTGGAGGCTCTACTTTTTTTTAAGGCACATTTCTCATCAAATATTAACAATTAGCCTTTAAAAAATAAGTTAAATCAAACGAAACACAGACTCTTGGATCTAAAGGATCTCTTAAACAACCCTGCGGTGTTGAAAGAAGCGTTAAGCTTAGAGATTTCGCATTTTTATCCCGTAGACTCTGAAATATTGTATCACAGATTATATAAAACTCTATATTATGTTTTTAAGCTTAACATACTCGCATTTCAGACGCAGTAAAGCAATGTACGTCGACAGTTCCTCTTTTATTTTGTGTCAAGCGCAAACATTGTTTTTTTTTTTTTTTCAAAACGTAGAAAAACTCAGAATAAGAGGTCGACAATCAGTATGTGAGTTCGATGGTTACTTGAGATGACGCTCTGCTTGTGGGTGGTTGGCGGGTGCTCCGATGTGGTTTGTTCCTTTCCTGCCAAACATCTATCGCCCATATATCTCCTCTTTCTCTACTTTGCATGTTACTCTCTAGTAACACCTCAAATCTTCGGCACATATATTACCTGTTTGTGTTGGAAATGCTGTTAACATTTTTACTGAAATTAAAACTAAACACTCTACTAGAGGTAGTATTAACCGTTTGAGGTGTGTTGTTGTTGTTGTTGTTATTGTTACTGTTGTAGTGTTGTTGTTATTGTTATTGTCGTTGTGTTGTTATTGTTTTCGTTATTGTTGTTGTTGTTGTTGTTGTTGTTGTTGTTGTTGTTGTTGTTGTTGTTGTT